ATAGTTTAGTTTTGTTTTAGGTTGAAGGGATAGCTATTGCCAGAAATTTCCATTTGAGTGCCAAATAAATTTAAATTTCATGGCTTTAAATATCTGGTTCTCATATAATTTGTTTCCTAAAATAAACTTAAGAACAATAGCTGTCAACATTTTAAAACAATTATCTTTGTGAATTATATACACAATGTTACAGGAAGGGTTCACAGCTCAATATATAAGCCCCAGTAAGTAGGATGACAGCTTTGCCTCTCCACTAAGCAAGCACAAAAATAAGTGACAGATCAGAGAAGGAAGACTCCTCCCATGTACCAGGCTGGTGTCAGTGGGCAGGTGCTACTGCACTGCTGCCCTGACAATCCTGAACAGGATTTGGTGCATCTCATGAGACCACAAAATTTATGGTATATGTGTAACAGGAGTAATCTAAAGATAAGGCCAGGCACGGTGGCTCATATCCGTAATCGCAGCACTTTGGGAGGCTGAACTGAGCAGATCACTTGAGGTCAGGAGTTCAAGACCAACCTGGCCAACATGGTGAAACCCCATCTCTACTAAAAACACAAAAAATTAGCCGGGCGTGGTGGCAAGTGCCCGTAATCCCAGCTACTTGGGAGGCTGAGGTGGAAAAGTCGCTTGAACCTGGGATGCAGAGGTTGCAGTGAGCCAAGATCATGCTACTCCAGCCTGGGCAACAAAGTGAGACCCCATCACAAAAAAAAAAAAAAAAAAAGATAAATTTCTATACCCAAGTTCTATTTAAGTTAGACTTACGCCTTCACAGTGTCTAAAAGTGGTTAACACTTAGCTAAGAATTCCTGATCTTTCTCTAAGTCTCTAGATTATTCTATTCTCCATATGAAACCATACAAGAACAACCCCCACTTACATTTGAAAAGTCCTTTGTGGTTTAAAATGTATTTCCTCATATTACCACAATTCAGCCTCATCACATATCCACGAGGTTAATGGCACAGTAATATCATTATCACCATCTCCATTTTATAAATGAAGAAAGTGAGACCACAAATATTAAGTGACTTTCCCAGGGTAACAGTAAATGGCAGACCAAGACTCAAACTTACTATACAACACAGAATAAATCGGGGGCTGAGGCTAAGAGTCACATGGCAAGAGGGAGTGTAGACAGCTAGCTCAGGAGAGGGCCAAAATAGGGGAGAGCCAGTAGTTCATAAGTAGAGCTGGGCAGGGGTGGAGGCAGGCCCGCATCTCCTAGTGGAGGGCATAATTCTGCAGCAGAGCCCGCTCCTCAACTGGGCCAGTGGCTCAGGGACGGGAGCACGGGACGTGCAGCTGTGCCCCTGCCTATGCCTCAAACAGGTCCTAGGCTACAAGCAGTGGCACAGACAGCATGATCCAAAGACAGCATTTACAAAGCTAAGATAGGGAACTAAGATCCATGACATTCCCAGACCTTAAAACCCTTACAGGAAGGCAACTTGAACAATAAAATCAGCAAATCATTTGCACCACATGCTGCGCACCTACCGCTTCTCCCTGCAGGCACCGCAGTGGGTATGTGACAGATACAATCTATCCTGTTTTCCCCTGCTCAAGGCTGCCCCAAAAGTTCAGGGTGGCAAAAAACTGAGACACCAGAATAGTGTTATCTTACAACAGAACGAAATTGAGAGAGAGAGAGACCATTTCAGCCAACAGGGGGGTACTACAGATAAGGAAACTAAGGCCCAAGAATTTGCCCTCGATAAGAAACAGATGAAATACACTAAGAAACTATTATAAAAGACCTACTTAAGTGGCTTTCACTCGACTGGTTCTTACCAGTGAGGAAGTAACTTCTCACCAAATATCATATGTCTTACTTACCTTTTGGCCTTCAGCACATGCAGGACAGCCCTCAAAAACAGCTCATCAAATTCAACCTGTAGTTTCTCCACAGAGTAGGGCTGTTGGGCCAATCCTGAGCCTTGGTTATGGCTCATATACTGTGCCCAGTGGTCACTTACATAACCAACGGTCATTCTGAGCATGAGGAAAGATAATACAGTACTTTTCATTAGCTCAATATCTGCACCTTTATATTACATTTACAACATTCATTATTCAACACATATGTATTGAGCACCTACTAT